ACTAGTAAGAATTACACGTTGTTACAAACTGCAAATTTTAAATCCAGACAGAATATAAAGGAATCATGATTGCTTTTAATTGTTCAAGATAGGGTAAAAGAAATCTTTTGCTAAATCTACCATGTTGGCTGGAAGATCATTTACTGTATTACTCTTTCACAGCCAGAAAACAGAAAAACTTACCTACAAAAATATCTTATCAAATCTTCAGTTACCTTCCTTCAGACAGCTGGGTAGAGTCATCCTCCACAAAAGACCTATTTAAGGCAGGCAACCTTTCAAATCCTGGCTACACATAGCTCATCTAGACTTCAGAATGAAAACCTTACAGTGCCTCCCAAGTATACCTTTCTACTGGATTTTGTGTATGTCACTGCAAAAAGAACAAGGAAGGACAGTGGAACTGCCAATACTGAAATGTGTCTGTAACCTCCTAACCCATGATGTCATGCTAGGAATAATTAAGGAATCATGTGTTTACTAACTATCTAACCAAAATGTCCTCAGGGATACATCAGCACAGACCCAATATTAAGAATTCACAGCCACCAGTCAAATAATTGGTAACATTAATTTCTCAAGAGAAATAAAGGGACATCAAGCTTTTACTGCACACGTTTTTTCACTGCATGTTTTTAGCATTATTAAAAGCCATCAGTGTGTATGTTCTTAGAGAAATGGGGACTGCTTACGTGAGTCCTGGCATTAACTTCACTGCAGCTGAAGACCTAATGGTGTTTTGTTACAAGCTGGAAATGCCTTTCAGAGTAAAGGATTATTGACATGAAAACAAGGTACTGGTATACTATAGCCTGTTTTCCATGTCTTGTTATTTTAACAAAAACATTTTTATTTTAACATCAGTTAGATTGCTACCAGCGTGTTTTAGCAAGTGTACCAAACTGTACTTGGTACTATCAAGACTGTAACATGACAGCAAATAGCACAGACAAAAACTACTGGTGCAGAACTAGGAGTACAGCACGTTTACTTCAAGAGAAAAAAAGACAGACAGTAATTGGGTTGAGGGGAAGCAAGCAGGTAAGTGACTATGACACTCAGTGCCATTTCCCTCACCTTCAACTTCTTCAAGATAATTCAACTGAACATGAATTACTAAAAGATGGTTCCCCAAAAAATACAAGATTTAACTCCTATTTATTTCTTTACAATATCAAAAAGGAGTCTTAACACATTTGCACATACCTCTAACAAAACGCACAATCTCCGCCTACTATGCCCTGGAAAGCCATGATGGTAGAAACAGCAGCAAAGCAGCATAACTTAGTGAAAAGCTGGGCAGCAACAGGACTCAGTGAGCCACATTAAAGGAAAAAGATCAAGAATTTCTGACATTATGTGTGAAGAACAAAACAGGGTGTCCTGTTTGTCTTCATTTTGACAAATTAAAATAAGCTGGACACAGTAAATGCTTCTCATATTCACGGGTTTAACTACTGAAAAAATTGCGTAGCCTACTACAGACAGCTGAAAGAACTCCAGCAAAACTTCAAGTAGTACTATGTAATTCACCACTTCCAATTCATTTTTCCAATCCTCTTTGGAAGGTAAGAGGTGCTCCTTTAGATCAGTTTTAAGGGAACAATTTCATCAAATAATATAAGTAAATGATAATAGTTCATTCTAGTGAAAAAAAAAAAAAGCAAAAAAAAGCACCTGTAACAAGTCTACAGAATTTTTTCCTTTCTATATCAGCGAAGCTTAGCCTGGTACCTTTAATGCTCTTTACAGAATTGCCTGAAAAGCATTCCTTAGCATTAAAGTCCTCAAATCTGTTTTTAAAAATGTGTCTCTTAATTTGTTACTGAAAAATCAGTAGGAATAATGATAGATTGATATTTTACCCCTGTGAGTGATAGTATTTTTTATGAACACATGTGACTGTAAATTGGTAGTTTCAGTGTGATATCCTGAAGAATACCTTAACACCCTAAGTGAAGCTTTGACTCTAAACTACACCATAGAATCCCTTCAATGTCATAGCACCAACATTATCCAGAAGAGCTGAAGCATGATTTGTGAAAGTAGAAAATAAAAAAACATTCCTTAGTGTGGTATTTCATCTAAACACTTTTTGTACCTAATGAAATATATTTTTAAATGAAGCGCCACCAGATTTTTAATTTACAAATCCCTAACTTTGGAATGGCAATGGCATGAGTATTTACACATTTTGAAGGCTGTACTAAGCAAAGTATTACAGGTCATACTCCTAAATATGTAAAAGCAGAATGCATGTGGAGAAGTGAAAAGCTGGAGATCAGTTTCCTAAAGCCATAAGCTCTAAATTCCAAATAACAGAATGAAACCTTGTATTTTCCACCAAGAAAGCCAAGTGTTACCCATACAGCTCTTTCAAATAAGTCTTCTGATCATATTTAACAATAGAGCTAGGGACCAAAACCAAATCAAACTAGTATATTTTGCAGAAACATCCCCCACCTCAAGCACTCAGGGTTTTGGGTATTGTATTTGTTTTGTTGTGGGGGATTTTTTGGTGGTGGTGTTTGGGTTAGGTTTTTGTTTTGGTTTTTTGTTTATGTGACAGCAGAAACAAGGAATGATCTGATCCGTCCAATTTTATTGAGATATCAAGTTTTCAAAACGTTTCCAATTTACATAAAAGATTAAGTCTGTTGTGGGCACACAATATAAGCAGAAGCAAAGATATTATGTATAGAGCTGTTTTGCAAACTAGAAATTGTATATTGAGATGTATAAACTGTAAGAAATTAAAGCATAATTCTATTTGAGATATGGTCACAATCATGATGTTCAAGTATGCAAGGTAACAGAAGGAAATGTAATGCAAGTTCTGCTCACTATGGCCTAAATTAAGTGCTTTACTCCTTCTACTTTGTGCAGAACATTAAAAGAATGTAGAAGAATGAGGGATTTTTACAACCTTGACAACTCTGCATGGAGGCAATCCTCATTTCCTCCACACAGTTTAAATGAGGAGTTAGTACAAATTTGGAGGAAGGTATAGAATGCGTTTAGTGCAGAATAATTTCTTTTGTAAAACATCAAGCAAAACAGTCCCAAATCTGTTTGGGTCCTTCCAGAATAACAGGTGTAAATTACATAGCCTAGAAATTCACTTGCCAGCTCCTGCAAAGAACACTTCTACCATAATGTCTATGCACAGATTCTGTTAGAATATCATCGTTGCAAGAATGCTGGAGCCCAGTGTCTTTTCAAAGTAGCGGTGTTTAAAAGTAATGCATCAGTAAAACAAGAAGAGGGCTTGAGAGTCAAGAGAAACGGGAAGAACTCTGCTTCATAAAATATGTAATGCAGGTTCAAGTTGCAAGCGTGATTTAAAAAAGAAAATTCTTAATTTAGGAAAGCACTGAACAAGCTCAGACACCTAAAACTGAAATTTTGTGGTTTTATTGCATACCTTCTTTGTAGTTTATCTGCAAGTTTACAACCTCCAGTCTCATGTCAGAAAGGAATAGTTGTCAGAAGCTCTTGTTATTGCTCAGTAAGATTGCAACAAGAGAAAGAGAAGGCTCAACAAGGCCAGTGGAAAGGCACGAGAAGTCAGCGTACAGATGCTGGACAGAACACTATTGAACCGAAGCTAAGATTATTTGCATGTGCCATGCATGATATGATCAAAATTTACTTTTTTTCTCTACCTAAATGGTCTCCTCCTCTTAAGGACTGAGAAAAAGTAACTACCTTCTTCTGAAGAAATCAGAATGGAAGGCACTCCCATAAAGAGTGGAATCCTCTGCAAGAAGATGAGTGTTCTCAAGTAAAAGTAGTCACAAAGACTAAGCTCTGGAGAAAGAGAAATGTATTCCTGATCCAGAAATAGCTGTTTCTACCAAAATTAGCAGCAGAAAAATATCCTTATAGCCACCTCCATTGTTTAGAGCTTAAGTGGACAGTAAACAGAGTAACACCACTGTGAACTGCAGCCTGAGTATTATAAGGCACCTATAGCTGCAGCCAAACAAAAACTTGTTTGGAGGATATAAGACAGGGATGTAATACAAAAATTGTAGACAAGTTGATACTTCTGTACTGTGAACTCCTAGTTTAAAAAAATGTTTTCCCCCTCTTGAAATACCCCAATCAGTACTTTTAGTACACATACCTCGAAGAATTCTCTCCTCATGGCAACGTAGAAAGTCCCAGATTCTAACAGTGCCGTCGTCAGAGCATGTAGCAAATTTATTATCCGTGGGTGAGAAACTGTTACATGAAGACACACAGCAGGGGAAAGAAGTCAGCATTTAACAGATTATCTATGCTTCTCAGACAGGGCAAAATTATACTGTAAAGTGTTATACACTGAAAGATGCATTCGAACATAGGGACTTTTAAGTGAATACAGTGCCTGCCAAACGACACTTTATCACAAGACATGAATTTAGCATAGGATTACTATTGCATTGCAGTTCCCCGTCAAATGAGGAAAAAAAAAAAATCCAGATTTTATTCTTAGCACCTTCCTACCTATGACTGCACGCGGTAGCACCTTCTCTGTAGGATGAGAAGCAACATCAATATGATTTGGTAACTGTCACCTAGATTTTAATGTTTGGTAATACCGTAAGAAAGTGACACTGTGTAGAAGCACGGGAGAACAGTTCTTAGGAAAAAACTCCTCTTCAGCCACAGGTGCTTTACAGCAGAGAAGCAAAAATAAGGGAAAGCTGGTCACAGGAAAATGCTAGTTGGATTAACTGTTGAAAAAAATTGTATATAAAACAAGTGTACCACTTTTTGTAAAAGTAAATTAGAAAAAAATCCCTCTTATTACACCCCATCAACACCATGAAAAGAATCCTACAGACATAGCAGCAGCTTCCAGACTGAGCAGTCAATATTGCTTGATGAAAGTCACTGGAAAAGCAAGGAGTTATTTAGCCATACGATTAGGGCCAGAACATCTCCAGCAACTGACAGGCATTCACTTCCTTTCTGGTGCAATGAAAGACCACGAGGGAGCCCTTGTGAAATCCTAGACCTTTATGATCTGGAAAGGACTCAAAATAGTAGAGAAATTCAGTGTGTGGCCATGATAGTCAGACAGTAACTGAATCCAATGTAAGCACTTCTCATAACCAATCTCTGGCAGAAAATGCTGCACCCTATCAAAGAAAAATGGTGACTTTAGTGGAAAGTTGTTTTGTGGCAGTGAACCTTTATCTCCAAGGGTCAGCACCTGAACCCAAAGAAACACTGCTTTAGCTTCATTTTGCATCTGCAGCTTCTCTTCAGGCTTACTTTAAAAACATTTCCATATCTTACTAAAGATTATATGCAGCTTTGCTTTAGAAACATCCTTCATTTGCATCTTACTGAGAGTATCACTTTAGATTCCATTTTTTATATAAATAGACATTTGCACAACTGAGGCATTTGCAACACTGAACCAAGTGAATATCCTACAGTCTTCTTTTCAATGGCTTGCTTACAGTTTCAAGCTTGAAGAACCCATTCAGTATTAACATTAGACTTCTGTATGTGGCAGTCTGCGTGGGTATTTAGCATTACTGGAAGTCCTGGCCTCACCAAGCCAAGCAGTTCTTCACTTTATTTAGTGTTTTATTATTTTGTGAGAACTATGCAGGTGTTTTATTTCTGAAGGCTTTATATTTTATTCAGTTAGATTATTAAAGACTGAATTCTTTATTTGTAATGAAATTGTTGTCTTACACAGTGCGTATAAAAAGGAATAACTGATACACATCGTCACCATATAAAAATGAAAAGAATACCAGTGCAAAGTGCGGCAGACAAATACATCTCTAACATATTGCAGAGGCGGATACTGGGACAATACTATCTCAGAAAGGTGCCAGCAAAACGGTGAGAATGTGGAAACAAAAGAAAATATTGTGTTTATGTGGTGCAGGAAGTTTCCCAGAATCTGACAGAACCCATGCATTTCTGCACCCAGAATACACTTAGAGAACAGTCTAATCATGGTAATAGGTACTACAGAAAATGGTATATTGTGTATAAACCTGGCCTCTCTAATCGCCTCCTTATGTGCCTGGAACATCTTGACGTTGTTCATGTTGGACTGCCAGTATTTCACATATCCCCCGTGGTCTGCTGTCAGCATCCACATATCATTGTGTGACCAAGTCATAGCCCTTACAGGGCTGTCGTGAGCCTGTAAATTCAGAAACAAAACTTCTAGCAAACATGTTCAAATACTATCTGACCCACAAAAACTCGAAAGTTAGTAAAGTTACTACTTAAAAGCTACCACAAATAAATGAAAACAATTACAGTCCAGTTAGATTCAAGATGTTAATGTGAGGGGAAAAAAAAAAAAAAGAGTCCCTTACTCTCTATATAATGGTCTTCTAAATAATAAATGAAGAATATTTGCATTTGTTCCCAAAGTGTTTCTTTATTATCACAAATATTCGTACTAAGTTCTTGAGAACAGTTAGTATGGCATATGGAGATGGAATGAGAAGTATTAAATGAATTGCCTATAGCCACAGTCTGACATGGGGTCAGAGCATGATAAAAAAAATAGAAGACATCTAAAACTCCCATTACTGCACTTAGACCACAGACCCATGATGAAAAGGATGAAGATGTGTCCCTAAAACATGCTCCAAGACCTCAAGGAAATATACAGAAATCTTGATAGATTAGTTTACCTGCAATATCGTTTCAAAATTGAAAGTCAGTCCATTCCATAAAGTGAACTCTCCACTAGATGCACCAGTGACCAAGCGTCTCCCTTCAGGAGTCCACTGCAAAAGAAAAACTTAAATAAACTGTGCAAATACGACATTCAAGTATTTCTTAACAATCCTCTAAACAAATCATAAGCTTCTTACAGTGAATCTGCAGAACTGGAATTTACTAAATTACTTTCTAGAGGAGGTAAGATAGACAAAAAAACGCAAAACTGTGCCAGAGAGTTTTTGACTTTTGTAACAACAGGACAAAGTCCACTGTAAAAGCAATGGAAAAAAATCTAATCATAAAGAAGAAACAGCTTATTGGCACCAACACATTTCTAACACTCAATATCCAGACTAAACAATACTGCTGACATCACAGAAAAGTTGTTAAAGGATGCTACAAGAGTCAAACAGCACAGAGACCAAATTGCCCTTTTTTCTGCAAGTCAAAATATATTAGTCCCACTAAACGAAAAAAAAAAATTAGGAAGTGCACCTCAAACTCTGATAGTAAGAGTTATTTTCTACTCAGACCTTAACATTTAATTTCCTAAAACCCTCTACAGAAAGACTAGACACAGAAGTAGTCCATACATTCCACATGCTAGTTTTATTTGGAAATGCTTTAACCGTTATCTTGTTTATTTCTACAGTTGAGAATATCATTTTAAATTAAGACAATGCAACTAAGTAAATACAACACTATACTCACCCTGACAACAAACACTGGGCATTTTACTTTATTAGTAGATGTCCGAACAAATTTTGTTGTTACAGCATTCATAGGGTTGTTTAGCATTCCTATAGGAGGGACCAACTATGAGAGAAGAAACAGAAGATTTAGTAATGACATTTTTAACCAGAAACTGCAAGGAAAGCATACATTCTGAACACCCATTTCTGGAAAAAATTAGTTTTTAATTTGCAGGGATATTATCAGAAGTAAGTCAGCAGAAGCATTCAAAAGTCTGCATGATTTACCATCTCAAACATCCAGAACCAGCATCTTCTAGAGCAATCTTGCAAGCTCAGGGCATTATGAGAGTTCTTATGTCCAAAAATTAAAAGCCTATTCAATTTCACATCGTGGACATGGAATCCAACAGAACAAGAAAATGAACAGTGAAGATATCCTTCCTATCTTTAAGGCCCCTTGTGGACAAAAAGATAACCTCAGCTGACAGGCAGAACCCTTCTGATTTTCTGGACAAATTCTACCCAGAGACCTTCATCAGGGAATAGAATGATTTTACTTACGTCATTATAATATCCTGCATCAGGCTGGATTGCTCGCATATCTCGCTGGTCTCTCTGCCATACTCTATTCTGGAAAGAAGAAAACAGCTCTGAGTTCATACCACCACTATACTTCATTATTAAACAACAGAAAATAAAGAACACTGACAACCTGCTTGGGAAACTCCAAAGCACTCCAAGGATTTTAGAAAAACTCAGAAGACTTTGGTCTCAGAGAACCTGTAGAATTTGTACAGAATAAGCAAAAGATTCTAGAATATCTAAAGTCTTAATTTCATCAGACTAAAGCAGTTAATTTACAATTGCAGCTTAACAATATGGAAGGAGCAGTCCTATGTAACAAGGCACATTATTGTAACAAAGATGATTGGTACTTTGCTGCCCAGGCTAATAGGTACCCTACAAGAAACAGGTTCAATCATTTTAAGAGCTTTACATTCAGGATAAGCATTTACACCATTAGGAGCTGTGCTGATGAACTCTAAATGAAATCCCACACTGTGACACGCGCTAGAAAGGAAGTTTCTGCAGCTGAAGCATAAAGATAACAATGCATTCAAATGGATAAAACTAAGGGATAAAAATGCCTTCACTTGGTTAAATTTTGTAAGCTGTCAAACACAAAACCACTTTAAGAATGAAATTATTTTAGATTCGTGCTGTAGACTTTACCATTTGGATCTGTGCACATATTGGAAACATAAGCTAAAATTCCAGGTAAAACATTTCCAGCATACGCTACCACAGTTTGCTTGCATTTCTTAAGCGAAGAGAAGATTACGTATAAACTATTTTTCTCATTTTTTACAGAACCACATCAAATTAAACCAGTAGTATTGAAGTCAGAATTAAAATGGAATTCTGGTATATCCTAATTTTGTGTAAGCGGCCAAAACAGAGATTCGATTTTTTTTAAATTTTCTTTTAATAAACATAAGTTTGAGAGTGCTTATTTCTGCCACAGTAAAAAAAGGTCCTGAGCTACTGAAATTATTTTTTTGGAATTAGTCCACTACTAATAGAATCTTTTTTGAGGTATTCCTAAAATATAAGTATGTTTTAAGTGTACAGTTTTAAAACATACCTTAGAAGATAATTTAAGTTTATGACTAAGAAAACCTTCCAATTGTTAACACCTACAAATTATAATCATTCACTGGCCAAGCAGATTGAATTCACTTAATCTTATTTTTGCAATGTTGCTACTGACATTCCAACTATTCCTGTATTTACAGATTTGGTTCTATTTCTTCTGAGCTAATATCCAGTATTTGTACAGTAAATCTTGATCATAAAACTGTGTATCTTAAGAAATTAATACCACCCCATCAGGAAAGCTAAATAAGCATTTTTACAGAAACATTTATTCAACACAACTGCATTTAAGTTGTTCTGTATCTATTAACTGTGCAGAAAAGGATTTTCAGAGACCACAGGGCAAGCTGCAGTGCTATTTAGCAAAATTATGAGAAAACATCTTTATCTTGCCCTGGTTTTGGAGAGGAAAGAACAATGGTTTATTTCCCATTTCAGGAAATTTCTATTTCAAAACAAAAAATAAGAACGATTACATTATCTATAGAGTTTTTATGTTCACTGAAAAGCCGCAACATCACACAAGACACTCAACTGCACTCCAAGTTGGTATTCCAAGACAGAATGTAAAAATTGGCGTTTACTCAAACCACAAGATCAGCTGTGTGTATGTGCAGTTTTATTACCAAGGACCCTTTCTATTCATACTATACCAAATTTACAAGCGTTTGTCACTTGGTTTGAAAATGCAGCCATACATCCCCCTGTATTCCAGACTGCTCTATGGACACTGAAATGCATAACCACAAATTTCAGGAAAGAAAAAAGTTTTTCAAACAAAACTAGAAAATTAACTAACCTCCAAATATTTAATTACAGAGGGATTGTAGTCTATGGTCTTTCGGTTCACAGCTTTTCTCATCCGCTTTCCATCAAAAGTAAGCTGTTGCATTGCTTGCTGCTGTGCAAAATCAGGTCTTTTGTAGAACAACTGCCGAGGCGCCTGGTGCTGGAACCTCGGCATATGGAAAAATCGGGGCGGCGAGCCAATTTCTGTGGCCATGGCTATCTTGTTTCTGAAAGGCTGCAAAAAGTGAAACACTAGTTTACTACACAATAATGACAAAAATCCTGCATTAGTATCTCCACTAACTTACGTTTACAAGAATTAATAACAACTTCATAAAACATTGTTTATTGGGAAGAAATATTTGCAGGTTCCTTTGAACAATTATTACTTAATCCCATGTGTCACATAACACTGACATTAAAGCGGTTAACTACTTTGTTCTCTATCAAGAGGAATTTTGTATCAAAACAGATACATAAAGTTTGCATTAACATCCTTATATTAGAACTGTGTGAGAAAAGAATATCCTCAGTAAAAACAGTATAAGTAAATGCAAGAAATGGTAAGACCCTTCAACAGAAGATATTTCAGATTCAATATACAACAGGAAACACTACATTAGTTACAAATTTATTTAATTATCAACGAGGAAAGAAGTTTTAAAGGGCTGCCTCAAAACCTTATTCTAGGACCTGAAAACAAAATTACATTCCCTTTACATAATTTATAGCGAATACACCACGAATCACGTTCTATCTGTAGGTATACTTTCAATTCCATTACCACAAAAAAAAAAAATTAAAAAATTTACCTATTTATCAAAGTTTGATAAATGTAACTGAAGATCACTCCCCCAACAAGACTCACTGAGAATGTTTAAAAAATGTGAGGTGCAGTGAAAAAAAAACTTCAATACGCATATTAATTCTGACAGAGGGCAATGAGATTAAAGCCCAATTTTTCAGTCTGTAAAACTTTTAAATGATGAGATTCTAGCAACATCTTCACAGCTGAAAACTACAATATACACTGTCATACTAACTTCATACTAAGCAATGACACACTCTGAACCAGTTAAAGCTAAAACTTAATTTTCACCTTGTACTCCTCTCCCATCCTGAACTTGGAGTTTGAAAAAAAATTTAAACCAAAATAAACTGACACTGTAATCCATGGAATGCAAAAAGGCTGAGAAATACTCCTTTGCATGAAGGCTAAAGTGTTTACACAAAGTGCATTTAATAAAAAGAATGGAAATAAAACTGGTAGATTTTTTTTAAAGTTGAAATAATCTGTTTGTAAATTCATATATGTACTTTCCTATTTAGTTAAAATACTTGTATCTTCAGTCTGAAAGAGTTGGAAAGTTCCTTCAACTGCCAGTCTTAAAGTTTTATCTCAGCTTTTTCATCCCAATAATTGAAAAATGTTTCTATTTTTTAAACAGCAAAATAAAGCTAAGATAGAAATGCTAAACAAAAGAGGGTTTAAAAGTATTGCATACTTTGTTTCTTTTTAACAGGTTCTTTATAACTACGAGAAGCAGGTTGCCCTTTAAATATCAGACAGTTTGTTGGAACAGGGCAGGGATTAAGGCTTTGCAAACTTACAAGTCATATGCTCCTTTCCTCTGCTAACTCAAAGCGCATCAGGCTGGCTATAAAACAAGCCACCTATGACATCTGGCTGTTAGCTACACAAACAATTCTAATGTACCAGGGGAAAAGCCAAACTAAAGCCATTACAACTATTCTCCATTCAAGACAAGTCCAAACTAAAATAGCATGTTTCCTTCAATGAGGTAAGGAAATTTAAGACCTTTGGCAGGAGTAGCATCTTTTATTAGACCAACTCAGGTAACTGGAAAAAGAAACCAGCTTTCAAATAAACAAACCTTCATCTTGTGGCTGAAAGGCACATTTGTCTGAAAGCTGCCCAATACCAGGTGGTCTAATAAGACACCACGTCTACCTCCAAATGCTGCCACATCTATACCACCATTGTAACAACATAATTGCTACAACGTTAAGCTTGTTTGAAACATGAAAAAGGTATTAAAACCTTCTCATGCAGGAAGTACGTCAAGCACCCCAACACTATCCTCAGTTCTCTTACAGCTAGTCAGAAGGCAGCTAACTTGTACAGAATGTTTCAGGTGTTAAATCTCAAAGGTGAAATTAAAAGGATGGTAGCACTTTTATGTCAAAAAAGAGAAAGCAGTTTCTTCAAACGAGCAAATCAAGCTGGCATTACACACCTAAGTCCATTAATAAAGTATTTTTAATTTATTTTCAAAGCTTATTCATTAGTCAGGCAAATAAGACAAAAATAAAACACCACACTAGAGAAAATTTCCAGTACAACTCTCTCTCTCAAGTCTAAAGATATGCACTCCTATACCAACCAATGTTTAAACCAGAGGGAAAGAATTTTTCAAAGCCACACATGTGTACTCTCTTATAGACAAGGCAAAAATAAATTTCAAGGATGAAGAATGCAGACAAAGCTATATGCTGAGGCTTCCAAAAACACTGATCAGATACAACTGCAAGAAAACATTACATTAAAATGCCTTTTTTAGAGAAACACTCCAAAGCAACAAGTTAATTAAATAATTTATTCTCATCTTTCAGAAAATGAAATATCCCAAAGAAAATTTTTCAGTAACTAAAATGGGTAAATAAAGCATTAGCTATGATATGGATCAATTTCAGTTGGGCATACTTAAAACTATCACAAGCAGCATCTAGCTTAGATTAGCATAAACAAGATTCACTCAGCATGCAACCAACATCAGCAAAAACTACTGTTTAAAGTGTAAATAATACACCCATTTAACATTTACGTTATCGGTATCCTACTTCGTGTTTTGTTGGGACAAACCAATGCCTCAACAGGCTCTCCTTTACAGCTTTTTGTATCAATCAGCTAAAAAAGCTTCTGAATTCAGTGTGTCTACAGCTGAAGCTCCCACTGTACTGGGAGAGTAAGTACAAACATGCAAACAAATATTAGAGGATAAAGTGTAATCCAGAGTATTAACATTAAAATTCCTATTTTAAGCAAAGTACCAAATTTTGTTTTTATTTTAGAATCCATCAACAAGGTTTAAATGGAAGACTCCATTTTTTTTTTTTCCTTAATGCACAGAACTAGAAGCAACAGCAGGATTTTTTCCAACATCAAGAATAGATCAGTTCTTATTTTATTGTTTCTGGATAGTAATGTTACCAATTAACTGCTATTCTCTTCTAGTTCATTATACTTTTATCACAATTTGAACTGTGAACTGAATTTCTGTACACCATTCTTTCATGCATCCTTATTGTTTGCAACAGAAGCATGACTTTCCAGAGAGCTGAGTGTCAGTTTCCCCCTTTTTGTCCCCACAAATACTCCTTCCAAGCTGACTAGCTGTCACACAGTTGAGGGGTAACCATTCAGTTAAGATGACGAAAGCCTGGAAAATATAATAAAATTGGGGAATAAATGAAGGCATATCTGACATGAAACTGAAGGCAGGAATAAGACCAGATAGAAAAAAAAAGCCCACCCCTCCCATCCGCACCAAACGACACAAGTTAGAAGAAACAGAGTAAAAGTAGAAGTAACTACAGAAGCAAAAGCACTAACTGAGGAGCAAGGTCAGTCAAGGCAGAGAGAGAGAACAAGAAACCTGGAAAACAGACACAGGTTAAAAAAAAAGTAAATTAAAAAGAATTTAGTTGAGAGAGACCTGGGCAGAAGAAACTGTACAACAAAACTCAAGCAGCTTGTGATGGGACCTGAGATGTCCACTGCTGTTCCTTAACTGACAACAAATACACTTGCAACAGAGCAAGCCTTTCATTAATTCCATAAGGATGGCAGGTTTACTAATGCTATCGAGTAATCAAGAGGGACATGGCTGTAGAACAGAGTCAAAAATGAAGAAAATGGAGGATGACCTTATACCCAGGGCATCTTGGTGTCACAAGATAATTTGTGGCGTTTGTTTGCTTTATAAAACATAAGACAAGTAACATATGGTATTAGCTCATTACAGAAAATGGTTACCACAGTTAATGTACTCAAATAAGGCTACAAAGATAACATTAGCATTTCACTTAATACCATTGTTACTTTATCATTTTATTTGTGTATGGTTGTTTCTTTAATACCAAAGTGAATCTCACAGTAAGTTTTGAAAATTGACGGATTTGGACTTAGCTACTTGAAAGCATGCAACCAAAGCAATTCACACACAACTTTATTAAATCAAAATAAAACAAATTAGGCTACTCAAACCAAAATAAAACACCAAACCACCCTTCCACGTTAGTTTAACCAGGTGAAGTTTGGAGACAAAAACAGAGTCATGGCTTATATTAAACCCATCACTTCTTACAGATAGTTCAGTACTAAAAGAAAAAAAAAAATCTGATTAATGTATAATCTTGACATGTTAAAATTATCACTAATGAAGTGCAATAAATGGTAACTAAAACGTGCTTGTCTACTTAGTAGTTATTTCTCACTGAAGTGAAAGCAACTTGGGTGCAGTGCAGTGAGTAATAATCTAAATACATCAAAAGAAAAGTATGTTTCCAAATGGAAGAACAGAAGGCTATTCTCCTGGAGAGTGCAAGCAGCCAGTTACTTTGCAAACCCTATGCTGTCCACTACAACAGAACATGTGACAGCTTAAAAGATATTCCCCTGAAACAGCAAAGGAAAACAGGTGCTAAAAAATTCCTGAGTCTATCTGTATACTTCTATTTTAAATGCGTATTAGACAGTTAAAGTACATGCAGGCTTTAAAGCAAGCGCTTTTACAGTGTAACAGAAACAGTTAAAATTAACAGCAATTATTTGCATTGCAATAGCATATAGAAGTCCAAAAC